CCCCTGCCAGTGGAGAGCCTGCCTCCCAGGGACCTTGGCACCCACAGTGCTGATGGCTGAACAAGCCCTGGGGGCCACGGTGCAACCTCAGGGGGCTCTTGGGGAGTAGCTGGGGGAGGATTGACCCTGAGGGTTCAGAGACAGACAGTGCAGAGGAGGGCAAGTTTGTTTCAAGGGTGCGGCTGCCCCCGGGACAGCGGTGTTATGTCTTGCCTGTGTCTGCTGACCCGAGCCCAGGCAATTACTGCCCTGCAGACTGGGGGCCATGGTCTGTTGTCCCCGCTTGGCACGGGAGAATGCAGCGATGTGGTTGCACTTCTCTTCCAGGGCACCCATGCTGCTTTGGGAACTGGTCTCTGACACTCAGTCAGACCCCCGCAGCCCACCAGCTGCTTCTCCTCCGTGCTGCAGCTTTTCTATCCTTCCCCCCCAGAGCAGAGCAGAGCTGGTGTGGGCTGGGCCCTGCTCAGTCCTGTTTCGGCGGCTTGCCAGCCATGATGTGCACCACCACGGTCCCGGTGATCAGCACCACCAGCACCAACAGCAGGATGAGCCCCTTGGCCTGGCAGTAGGACAGGGATGAGGCCTGGGCAGGCGTGTTTGCTGGAACAAGAGCAAGACAGAGGGTCAGAGCCAGGGGGAAGTGCCTGGTGCAGCCTCGTGGTGTTTGCCCTGGGGGGCAGTGGGGATGGGGCCAGCCCCTGGGGTCCCTCTAGGGGCAGGAGGAGCCCTGCAGGGAGCTTGGGGGCTAGGCCCTCCCTGCACAGAGATGAAGCGTGTGCCTCTCTGGGTAGCAGAGTCAGAGCGAATCTGCAGGGGAGGGATTTGGGGTGGAGAGTGGTGCAGCATCTGCCTGGAGTCAGGTGCCTTGTGGCCCCTCAGCAGCCTGCACCATGAGGCCCATTTTCCCCATGTGCAGGCTGCGTGCAGCTTCCTCACAGGGCATGTTACCTGCACAAAGGGCCTTGACAGAGGTCGTCGTGGAGCTGCTGCTGGCGGGGTTCTGCACCGTGCACGTGACGTTTATCAGAAGATCTGGGTGAGGGATGACCATGATGGATCCTTGAGCGGTCATACTGGGGGGCTGTGGGGTACTCCAGCTGTAGATCACGTTGTTGCCTCCTTTGGGGATGGTGCAGCTCAGGGTGATGTTACAGGGTCCATTCGCACAGCTCTGGGCATTGCAGTGAATTGTGGGCTGTGGCAGTCGCTCTGCAGGGAGAGGGAAGGAACCGAAATGGGAGGATACAGGTGTGAAGGGAAGATAACAGCACCTCGCCTTCCTGCAAGCATCTCCCTGAGACACTACCGGGAGCGCAGAGCCCTCGAGACCACCAGGTGACAGAGCAGACAAGAAAAAGGCCTATCAGCCCCCACTCAGGTGATGCTGGGTTCCTGTAGGAGGCCCCTGGGGATGGAAGACCCCCGCAGGGATGTCTCTAGTATGAGGTGCCCCTGGTGACTGATATTTCTATGCAGGGCTTCTTGCTCACAAATATCCACACTTGTGAGCTTTTAGCATGGAGGTGACAAGGGCATTGCACATCATGTCTTTACCCCGGCTGCAGCTGTAATGCTCAGAGCCCGGATCTGTCCAGTGCCCCACGCTTGGCTGATGTGTGGGGAAAGCAGAGACTGCTGCCCCAGACCGGGCACAAGCACGAGTGCTCATCCTTCCCCTTACCCGGAGTGGGATTCACATCCCTACCCGGGTATCCATCCCCATTCCTGTGCCCTTCCAGACCGTTATATTAACTAGGCTGTAGGGGAGAGAGA